TGGCGGTGGCGGTTGGCAAGCCAGCGTCCTCGGTGTTGTAGGAGCCCGTGCACCGGTGCCTCTGGTCCCAGGACATGTGAACCCCGGCCCCCTTGGTTCCGTTTGCAACCATGCTGCACTCTCGCCGTTGTCCCAGTGTGTCGCTGTGGGTTAATGCGCCATGCTGCAAAGCCTTTTGAACTGCAATGTTGGTGGTTCAAGTTCACCAGCTGCTCCTTGTAAACCCTATACAGGGTTGCTATGAGTCGGAATCAACTGGATGGCACTTAACAACAACAAGGTTTACTATGCTGGGAATGACAAAATGAAGAGGAATCACATTTTTTGTCAAAAATATTTCAAGATCTGTGTTGAAGGACAAACATAACTGTGTTGATAGGAAAACCAGGTAATACCAATGTTATTCAAATTTACATATCACCAATTAAAGCCAATGATGATAAAATTGAAGAATTCTACTAACTTCTATGGGGAGTGCTGTGGATCCATTGGATAAGCACAAGACTGTGAACCACAAGGTTAGTGGTTCAAATACACACTGCTCTACAAGAGAAAGGTGATGCTTTCTGCTCCTGCAAAGACATAAAGCCTCAAAACCCCACACAGGGTCACTATGAAGCGGAATCACGTAGATGGTGTTTAACAGCAACCAGCTCTTTCAGTCTGAAATTGATCAAGCATGCAGTGAAGTTGCATTGATAATTACTGGTGATTGGAATGTGACAGTTGGAAACAGAGGAAGAATTGGTAGTGGGACAATAGGGCTTTGAAGATAGTAATGATGTTGGATATCACTTAATAGAACTTTTACAAGACCAATCATTTTTTCATTGCAAATACTTTTTTTCAATTAAAAATGTTTTCATTTTAATTGTTATAAACATTATATAACAGAATCCTATGTTCTCTTATCAATTTCTACATGTTTGGGAAAACCTAACATCTCAATTGAAACTAAAAAACTGATATAGGGGGCCCACCCCAACATCTTAAGTTAACATGTTTGTCAGGTTTTTCAGTCCATAGGTATTAACCACTAAATATATCACTTGCAAAAAGCCTAGTAATACGTAATAAATAGCTCTGGGTCACATCACACCCTTATTACATCTGTATGTTTCTCTGTAAAATTTAGCACTGAGTTCTTGGGGAAATTAAAGAAAATACCAGGAGGCCTCCAGATACCTACTTAACCTGTATACCAACAAATTACAACAGAACTGACAAGACATTTGACCTTTTTATTATTCAACAAGGCTCCATTATTTTTTATTTCGCTTTCTGACTCTGTGCTTGTGCCTTCAACACTTTCACAACGATTTTCTTGCTCAGTAGGAAAGCATGCTTGATCTGTCACAAACACATTTAGCCCATGGAGCCACCATAGGCCCTGCTGACATGTTTCTTTATCTTGGACAACCTCATAAGAACTTTAGGTCTCACAGCACGGACCCCTCGAAGTCGGCCTGGGCACACACCGCATGCAGAATTTTGGTGCTTAGCAACCTCCTTCGTATAGAGACAATTCTATTACCAGGGCCTTGGGGCAGCCTAGTATTGTTAGAGGCTGTATTGTATTACAGCTTATGATGGTATGTCAAACGCTGGACCATTTTGAATGCCTCTACACAGTGTCTCCGGAAGAGGTGGAAGCAAATACCTTTTTTAAACAATATAAATGGCAGCTATACACATGGATCTCACCAGATGGAACACACAGGAATCAAATTGACTATATCTGTGATGGTGGAAAAATTCAGTATCATAAAATCAAGACCAACTGGAACAGACCACCAGAGCTCATATGCAAGTTCAGGCTGAAGCTGAAGAAAATGAAAACAAGTCAGGAGAGATAAAACTGATGATACAAATTGAAATGTTTCAATAAACTGATGCAGTGTTGGAGGCCCTCATTCGTCTATGCAAAAAAATTTGGAAGACAGCTACCTGGCCAACTGATTGGAAGAGGTCCATATTTGTGCCCATTCCAAAAAAAAGTGACCCATTGGAATGTGTAAATTATCAAACAATATCATTAATTTTGCTGCTGATAATTCAAAATCAGCTGCCATAAATAAATTCAATCCAAATTCAGAACAGGATGTGGAGCAAGGGACATCATTGCTGACATCAGGTGGGTCTTGACTAAGATCAGAAAATACCAGAAAGAATACTTGTGCTTTTAATTATGTAAAAGCATTCGACTGTGTGGATCATAACAAACTGTAGATAACTGCGAGAATGGGAATTCCAGAACACTTCAGTTTGCTCCTGAGGAACCTCTACATAGGCCAAGAGGCAGTTGTTTGAACAAAACAAGGGGATGCTGAATAGTTTAAAATCAGTAAAGGTTGCATGGTTGTCATGGTTGCATCTTTTCACTATACTTATTCAGTCTATATGCTGAGCAGATAATCTGAGAAGTTAGATTATGTGACGAAGAATGTGGCATCAAGATTGGAGGAGAACTCATTAACAACCTGTGATAAGCAGATGATACAACTTTGCTTGTTGGAAGTAAAGGGGATTTGAAATTCTTACTCATAAAGATCAAAGAATATGGCCTTCAGTATGGATTGCACCTCGATGTAAAGACAATGAAAATCCTCACAATTGGACTAATAAATGACATCATGGGAAACGGAGAAAAGATTGACGTTATCCAAGACTTTGTTTTGCTTGAATTTACTATGAACGCTTATGGAAGCCACAGTCAAAAATTCAAACAATTTATTGCATTAGGCAGATCTGTTGCAAAAGAACTCTTTAAAATGTTAAAGAGCAAAGATACCATTTTGAAGAGTTGCCTGACCCAAACCATTGTATTTTCAGTTGCCTCATATGCATGGGAAAGCTAGACACTGAATAAGAAAATCTGTAGGAGAGTCAATGCATTGGAATTGTGGTATTGGCGAAGAGTATTGCAAGTACCAGGAGCTTCAGAAGAACAAACAAATCTGTTTTGGAAGAAGTACAGCCAGAAAGCTCCTTGGAAGCAAGGATAACAACACTGCATCTCATATACTGTGGACATGTTATTTGAAGAGACTAATCCCTGGAAAAGGACACCTTGGTTGGCAAAGTAGAGGTCATCACAAAGGGGAAAGACCTCCAATGAGGTGGACTGACACAGTGCCTGCAACAGTAGGTTCAAGCATGACAAGAATTGTGAGGAATGATGTAGGACTGCGTAGCATTTTGTTCTGTTGTGTGTAGGGTTGCTATGTACCTAACAACCATAATATACTGTGAACGGTGCCACCACTTAACCCCAAAGGTGTACAATGCAGTAGCCTTTTGGAGACCAACTTCATCCTGTAGTGGACTCCTGGTGTGGCACTGTAGGATAATCACTGAACTGAGAACAACAAGGTCAGTGGTTCAAACCCACCATCTGCTCCTCAGAAACCCTGAACAGGGTCACTATAAGTCAGAATCAACTTGATGGCACTTAACAAAAACAATTTAGTAGGTGGCCATACATGTGGGCCCTGGAGCCAAACTGCTTAGGTTCTAGTTAAGTGATTTTAGGCAGACTGCTCGTCTTTTTTGTGGCTTGTTTGTAAATTGGGAGTAACAATAGTCCTTGCTTCAGAAGGTCACAACGTTGTTGCATGGATTAAATGCATTAGTATATATGAGAAGGCTTTAAAAAGTTTGTGCAAGAATGGAATTAAAAGATAATGGAATTTTTCCACTAACTTTTTGAAACCTCCTCATATGTTGTTGTTAAGTGTAATCTAGTAGGTTCCGACCCATAGCAACTCTGTATAGCATTTCTGAGGAGTTGTTGGTGAGTTTGAACTGCCGACCTTAACGGTTCAAACTGACTTTGCAGTCCAGCGCATTAACCCATACCAGGACTCCTAAAATAATGTCATTTGGCTTTCTGTCAGTGTTAGCTTTTAGTGTAGAAGCTCATCGGCCCCTCCTCGGAAACCCTACACAGGGCCACTATGGGTTGGAACTGCCTTGATGTCACTTAACAACAACACCTATATATAGGAGCCCTGGTAGTGTATTGGGTTATGAGTTGGGTTGCTAAATGAAAGGTCAGCAGTTTGAATATACCAGTTGCTCCGTGGGAGAAAAATGAGGTTTTGTGCTCTGGTAAAGATTTGAAACCTCAGGAACTCTATATAGGTTTGCAGTGAGTTGGAACAGACTCAACGGCACATCACCACCACCACCACCACCTGCATATACCTTCCACTCCAGCCAAACAGAAACACTTTTTGGTGCCTACATATACTTTGTACTTTTCCTGTGTTCAGTCAGGAATGCTGTCAGTTCTGCCTGTATCAGAAGTACAGTAACCCACTCCCCATTCTCTCCTACCTCTGGGTCACAAATCCTTGGTCTTTCTAATATACAGTTATCCTCTTAAGCCTGGTTACTTTCTAAAAGTGGAACTGAATTTGACTCATTTTTCTGTTTCCAGCATTGCTCCACAAAGAGCTGGGCACAAAATACCTACTGCTGTTGAGCCGATTCCTACTCATAGCTACACCGTATAGGATTTCTAAGGCTATAAATCTTTACAGGGAACAGAAAACCTCATCTTTCTCTTGAGGAGCAACTGGAGGGTTTGAACTGCTGGCCTTGTGGTTAGCAGTTCTTATCCCACAGAGTCATCAGAGCTCCTTGGACACAAAATAAGTGTCAAAAATGTTTGATAAATTGAATGAGAACATGAAGGATCACTTAAGCAAAGAATTATTGTAATACCAGTTGCTATGGATCAAGAAACTACTTTTTCACTTTATCCGTATAAAAGCAACCCATTTTGACTCCCAGATGAGCAAAGTAAGATTTAGGATGTTAACTAAACTCCTGCTAATCTGTTGGGAGACAGAATTGCAGTTTAATTCTCCCTGGTTCTAGGCATTCTGTTCTTACTCAAGCCTGTTCTTACTCCTCATTCTGTTCTTACTCCTCTGCAGAAGTCTTTGGAGGTACTCTGGCGGGCTAGAACTCACCTTTGTCTTCTCTCTCCCCAGATTGACAATCTCACTGATTATTGTACCAATCCAAATACGCAGCAAGTGGGGTGGGCTAAACACAATGTTGACCACTGTCCCAAGAATAATAATAGCATGCCAGACATTTTCTCAGTTGACCGCCGCCCAGTGCTGCAGAGGATCATGGAAACGGACCCTCTGTACCAGGGCCAAGCTCTGACCTCTGCTCTGAAGAATAAGAAGCAGCAACAGAAACGTTCAGGTGGGTATCAATGTGGTGGGGGCACCTGAATACCTTTTACTCAAAAAAGGGGCTTACCTGGGTTGGTTTACTTGTAGCACCTTTTAATTAGTAGCTAGTTGACATTTGGAAGCTGGAGTCCTAGGGCTTTTGAATGAACATCTCCAGAAGTTCAGCTCTATGCTAAGGTTAGGGGACAGGGTAGATTTAGAGGCTCATCTACTAATATGGTTCGCAGATTAGTGTGTTTCAGAATCACTTAAGAAGTGTTGTAAAACATGGATTTTTGAACCCTATCCCCAGAGTTTCTGATTCAGTAAGTCTGCTGTGTGGGGCCTGGTAATTTTTATTTCTAACAGGTTCTCAGGGGATGCTGATACTACTATTAGGGAAACCACTTTGAGAACCACTGACGTAGTCTTTGTGTTAAATAGCCACCATTTATTTATTGGGTGCTTTATGTGCTAGGAACTTTAGTGTGTGATTTTTACTTAACCATTAGGTAATACAGTTAAATCCAGAAGGTACAAAAGGGTATATACAGTTTTGTGTATCATACTGATAACTAAAAAGGTCTTCCTTTTTAATTTTAATGGTGGTCCTTTGTGGATGCTGTATTCATCCTCTTTGTAACTCATTGCAGAATTCTTACCATCACTTGATAAGTGAGGAAACTGAGGCCCAGAGACATTGACACATATAAGGAGATCCAAAATTCAAACCTAGGGTTGCTAGCACCTATGAGCCCTGTTCTTTGAACTAGGCTGTGTTCTGTAATCAGCATTTACACTTAGCCTAGCTCCACACTGAGTCCTGGGAATTCAGAAATTTGCCTTGAACTCCTAGTCTTGTTGGGCCATAGGCCGGAGACAAAAAATAGATATTGATAACACTGATCAGTGGGAAGACACAGCAAGCACAGTGAGAACCTAACACCACCTGTGGATGGTGATGGAATAGGCATGGCCAGAGAAGACTTTCTGGATGTCTTAGAAGGATAGAAGCTGGTAAGTGTTCAGGCCCAAAGCCCCTAACTACCATGCCACCCCTTTAATGTGTGAGCTTTGTTTTGGGTGTAATGGAGCATTAAGTTCAATACGGGGGTGGGGTGGGGTGGGAGCTGTTTTGAGACTAGGAAAGGATAGAAATACTAAGAATCAAGTGAGTATGGTACCCCAAGTGAGTATGATAGCCAGATTGGGGTGATCACCTCATCTACCTGTGAAGTTGAGCAGTGGCTGTCAGCAGCCCACCAGTTGTTTTGTTTATTTTTTAGGAGCTTGGTGTAGACCAGTATAAAGGTAGACCAACTCTGATAGGCATCTGCCTTCTCTTGGCAAGCCAGCTACCAAGTGACTACTTGTATTTCTCCATCTACAGATAAAATTGCCAGCAAGCTGTCTGATTCCATGATGTCTGCTCTTGACCTCTCTGGCAACACTAATGAAAGTGCTGGTGACTGATTTTACTCCCACCCCCAGTTCTAATGGATGGAATAATGTGTGTGAAATGAAATAGTTACCTCTCCGTGAAGCACCTGTATATTTTAAGAATCCCTACCTTATCATACCCCCACAACTGTTCCTGCATTACCTTCAGTTTAAAAATAATAATAATAATTCCAAGAGGCTGGAGTTGGCAAACCCACTCTATTTAACACCTTCTGTCTGTTTTACAAGAGAAATGTCAGCAATGCCCAGTTGCTAACAATTTAACAGCCCAGGGCTACTTCTCAGATACATGCTTTAACTATTTTTAAATTGGAATGGTAACTCTTGGTGTGGCACTGTAGGATCAGCACTAGACTGTGAACCACAAAGTTGGCAGCAGTTCAAACCCACTAGCTGTTCCTTGGAAACCCTACATAGGGTCTCAGTAAGTCAGAACCAACTCGACAGCACTTAACAACAAGCTTCACTTGGCGCCCTGTTTGTATGTCTTCTGATAAGGACAAGGTAGCTAATCATGTTCTCCATTTTGATGTGTTTAATGGAGCACCTTGTGACTTAGTGTGAATGTTAGAATGACAGAATTATAGCCTACTGATATACTTAGGATTGTTGAAAATTAATACAAATACTGTAATTAAGAGTCTGTCGAAGGCGCTCTGGTGGTGTAAGCGGGTGTGGGTTGAGCTGCTAACCACAAGGTCAGCAGTTCAAACCAACTAGTTGCTCCTCAGAAGAAAGATGACGCTTTTGCTCCAGTAAAGATTTTTACAGCCTTGGAAACCCTGTAGAGGGTTGATGCGAGTCAGAACAAATTCAGTGGCATACAACCACCACCACAATTGAGCATCAGTTAAACCAGTCTGTATGCTGTGAGGTGTTCTGGTAGTTGACTTCCTAATAATAAAGGATTTGCTCTCTTTTATAATCTGGACTGGTTATTAATTGGACTCAATCGCTTCAGGACATCAGACCCTAAGTTTGGTGTAACAGTATGGCCATAAAACAGTAAATTAACTTTTATGAAATAAAATTTTAAACCAAAAAAAGAGAAAATGCATTTAAAGGACTTGATAGAGACTCGCATACAGTAGGTGCTTAATGTTTCTTTGTTAAGGAGGCAATATAATGTGGAGCTCTGGTAGCGTAGTGGTTACAAATCAGGCTGCAAACCTCAAGGTCAGCAGTTTGAAACTGCTGCCAGTTCCATGGGAGAAAGATGAGGCATTTTGCTCCCGTAAAGATTTACAGCCTTGGAAACACTATGCAGGTTTGCTGTGAGTTGGGACTGACTCCATGGCACCCTACCAGTACCATCACCACCATAATGTGGAGGTGGTGGTGGTTTTAATTACACCTGGGTTCCAGTCCTGGCCTCACCACTTAAATTTTCTGAATCTGTTGATCTTTCATATAGGGAGACTAATCACTTTGTGGCAAAGTTGTGTTGAGGGTTAAAGGAGGTGTAACAAGTTTCCAGGTTTTGGTATGGTTTCAGCTCAATCAGTATACATTTCTCTTTGGTGCTGCCTCTGAATGCAAGAGTAGTCTGTACTTTGCCAAATCATTCTGCAGCCAAGGACATTCCACTCTCTGTCCCAAGTCTAAAAAGAACAGTAGGTCTGGGCTTCTCAGAGGATTTGGATAGGTAAGTTAGAGTGGTACAGGTGAAGGAAAGGCTAAAATGTGACTATGGGTCCAAAGGTAGTGTCTAAGTTTAGGGAAAGGTTTCAAGGAATTCACTGCCCACTTCATCCTGATTGTCCAGTCTTGGGTAAACTGCTGGGAACTGGGGTTATATACATAACCCAGAGAACTCTTGGTAAAGGCAGCCTCAGTTTTTGCTGAAATCATCTATCCTAGTCCATTCATTTCCGAAGGCCCCTGGCATTGTGAACCCACTGCCCTTATCTGATCATGTTTGTGTGTGTTAAGTACCATCGAGTCAGTTCTGACTCATAGCTACCCTGTATAGTGTTTCCAAGGAAAAGCTGGTGAGTTTGAACTACCGACCTTGCGATTCAAACGACTTTGTGGTCCAGTGCCATACCACATCTAAGGTATTTGATGGGGTAGTCTCTCCCAAATGTGACTAATGACATTTTATAATGAAGTGGCTTCCAGACACTGATAAGGGAGTTGACTAGTGCATCCACCTTGCTTCCACTCCCACCCAGTAGAGCATTTCTCTTGAAGATATAGTTTATGAACAAAGAACCTTTTGAATCATATAATTAAAACATTGGTGTTGGATAAGTGTGTTAATACAAGAGTGGGGCCCAGCCAGAGCACTTCAGCTAAATTCTTCCAACCCAGGCCAGAAACACCCCAAGGTGGGACTTAAACCGACTCCATGGCACAAGACCACCACATTTGAGAAACAGGACAGGTTGTGGAGATGTGCTGCTGCGTGCAGCCAAATAGGTTATGACTCAGCAACTCTGTGTAGGGTTTCCAAGCCTGTAAATCTTTACAGGAACAGAAAATCTCATCTTTCTCTCGCCAAGCATCTCATGGATTTGAACTGCTTACCTTGCAGTTGGCAGCTTAATGTGTAACTCATTACGCTACCACGGCTCCTTGTGGGGCTGTGTATAAGATGTTTTTAGGCAGTGCTTGATTGTATTTACTCTGAACTTCAGCAAAATAAGGGAGTGAGGTGACTCTGTAGCATAAACACTGGGCTGCACACCACAAAATTGGTGGTTCAAGGCCACCAGCCACTCCATGGGGAAAAGATGAGGCTTTCTGCTCCCACAAAGATTCGCAGCCCCTGAAATCCTATATAGGGTCACTATGTGTTGGAACCAACACGACGGCACTTAACAACGAAAGCAAAATAGTTATGTTTTCAAAATGGAAGCACTTAAGCTCTCAATAGTAGAATCTTGCAAAAATTCCAATTTCAGATCCCCTTTGATGGGGTCCAACTAATTGCATCAAATGATGTATTGCATTGGGCACAAGACCTTTTTAAAGCAAAGATGTCAGCTTGAGGAGTAAGGTGTGCCTGACCCAAGCCATGGTATTTTCAATAACCTCATATGCATGCGGAAGCTGGACAGTGAGTAAGGAAGACCGTAGAATTGATGCTTTTGAGTTATGGTGTTGGAGGAGAATATTGAAAGTGCCATGGGCTGCCAAAAGATCCAACAGATGTGTGTTGGAAGAAGTGCAGCTAGAGTGTTCCTTGGAGGCCAGGATGGCCAAACTTCGTCTCTCATACTTCGGACATGTTGTCAGGAGGGACTAGTTGCTGGAGAAGGATATCATCATATCATGTTTGGTAAGGTAGAAGGTCAGAGAAAAAGAGGAAGACTCCCAGAGAGATGGATTGGCAAAGTGGCAGCATCAATGAGCCCAAGCATGGTGACAGTAGTGAGGTTTGCCCAGGATCGGGCAGTGTTTCGTGCATAAGGTCGCTATGAGTCAGTACTGACTCGATGGCACCTAACAACGACTAATTTCAGGCTGTCTCATCAAACTTTTCTGATAGATAGACAAATACCAATTAAAAAACCATAGGATGCTATTGTTGTTAAGTGCTGTTGAGTCAGTTCTGACCCACAGCGACCTTGTATAGGGTTTCCAAGGAACAGCTGGTGGACTTGAACCACCAACCTTGGGGTTCAAACTGACTTTGCAGTTCAGTGCATTAATCCACACACAGCACCATACCGAGATTTCCTTGTACGGTATATTCCGTGGATGAGGCTCATGTGTATAGTTGTGGTTTAGGTTGTTGAAAGAAGATTGTTAGGTGCTGTTTAGTCAGTTCTGAGTCAAACCGACCCTATACACAACAGAACAACAGTCCTGCACTATCCTCACAGTTGTTGTTCCAACCCATTTTTGCTGCCACTGTGTCCATCTTGGGTATTTTCCTCTTTTTCTGTCTGTACTTCTTCTAAGACAGATTTGTTTGTTCTGGTAGCCCATGGTATTTACAATAATCTTCTCTAACACCATAATTCAAATGCATGGATTCTTGTATGGTCTTCCTTATCCATTGTCCAACTTTCACATGCATATGAGTCAATTGAAAAATCCATGAAGTTTGAATTAAGTGCGCTTTGTCCTTCAAGTCACATCTTTGCTCTTTATCCTCCTCAACTTTCAAAATGCCCCTTCCTACGTCCACTCATGGGTCCTGGCAACTCCTAATGAGTTTTCTGTCCCCATGGTTATGCTTTTGCATGAATGTTATAAATAAAATCATACAGCTTGTAACATTTTAAAAAATGTTATTAAAAAGCTATTTTTAAAATTTATAGAGTATAGTTCACTGTAATGTACAGTTCTGTGATAGGTGCATAGAATGTAACCACTAAATAAGATATAGAACAGTTCCATTACCAACCCCAGAATTTATTCTGCTCTGGTAGCATAGTGGTTACAAACTGGGCTACTAACATCAAAGTTGGCAGTTCGAAACTACCAGCTGTTCTGCGGGAGAAAGATGAGGCTTTCTGCTCCCATAAAGATTTGCAACCTTGGAAACCCTGTGCAGGGTCACTATGAGTCGGAATCGACTCTACGGTACTTAACAACAACAACAACTTCATAGTCAGTGGGGCCCTGGTAATGCAGTGGATTGTGAGCTTGGCTGCTAACTGCAAGGTCAGCAGTTCGAGTCTACCAATCGCTCCATAGGAGTTAATATGAGGCTTTCTGTTCCCATGTAAAGATTCACAGCCTCAGAAACCCTAATATAGTGTTCCTGTGAGTCAGAACCAACTTGGTAGCACACAACTACCACCATTACCACCATTTTATAGTCAAAACCTTGCCCTACCTCTAGCAACCAATGATTTATTCTTTGGTCCTATAGTTTGTCTTTTTGTGAATGCCATATTCATCAAAGGTAGGAATCCGTAATACGCTTTTGAGGCAGACTACTAACAGCATTATAGCTTAGAGATTCATCCATGTTGTGTGTATTGAGATCCTTATTTCTGAGTCGTACTCCATTGTATAGATGTACCAGTTTGTTTATCCATTGCATATAATGTAAT